TATCATCATCATCATCATCATCATCATCATCATCATCATCATCATCATCATCATCATCATCATCATCATCATCATCATCATCATCATTGCCTTTCTGACCCTGCACAAGGGTAAGTCTATAGGCCACGGACAAACACCTTCCACTTTTCTCTATCGTGGGCCTCTTGATGTTGTTCCATGCCTTCACACTTTTGTGTACTTAAATTTCTGTGATCCTCATATTCTATGGAGGGCAATTTTTTATGGAACGCTACAATGCCAAAAAACAGTTAATGTGATAAGACAGATTGATTATAAGCGTTTAAAGATTCACTTATATTTTGTTGGGTTAATTTCTACCGTACAACTGAAAGGGCTGACATCATGTCTGTCTCATCGATCATGTTGAAAAGGGTAAGAAGTTCTCAAGCCCATTATAATTTGACCTGAATTGTAGTATAAGGAATTGTCGTGTTGGTTTCTGTACTGTATGTAAGAATTATGTTTCTCTACAATCATCCGTCTAATTTTATATATGTGTTTACACGTTAAGTAAAAATAATCTTGCTCAAGAAGAGGTAAGATCTTTACTTTGCAAACTCTCAAAACAAATACGATTTGAGCTCCAGTCTTCGTTTAGTTTTAGTTTTAGTACGGTTTTATGGCGCTCAGAACTGCAGAAGGTCATATGAGGGTCAAGGGGTGGATGTCAACGGAGATGTCCAAACGAGAAATCGAGCTTACTCTGCTCACCTCTCTAGCCTCAACAGCACAAAGTCTACTTCGATTATCAAGACACCCCTGAATTAGCAGTTTAACAAGAGAGTGACAAACATACTAAAGAAGTAGAGGCAAAATAACGATAGTAAGGATGAGGAAAGAAAGAACAGCTGTTCCCCCTATCTTGTTCTGGCACAATATGAGCATGATATTGATAAATCGGCCCATATACAATTCTGCTGTGCATAAGAATAATATGGAAATATCTCCCCTTTGGGAATGGCCTAAAGACACTTCGGTCAGTAGCACTGCCCCGGGGTGGGGGCGAGGGGGGGTCCTCTAATCTTCATGAGGATAGTTCAGTGTGTTACCGGCAGCGCTAAATGTTGCATCATTTGTGTTGTTTTGATTTCCTCAGAACAACGCCAATGTTTTCTACCAACACCTGTCCCAGGTGCCCGGACTCAAACCTGTCATGCCCCAAGGTGCCATGTACATGATGGTATGTTCATAGCTGTGTCTACATGTACATGATGGTATGTTCATAGCTGTCTCGACATGTACATGATGGTATGTTCATAACTGACATGTACATGATGGCATATTCATAGCTGTGTCTACATGTACATGATGGTATGTTCATAGCTGTCTCGACATGTACATGATGGTATGTTCATAGCTGTGTCTACATGTACATGATGGTATGTTCATAGCTGTCTCTACATGTACATGATGGTATGTTCATAGCTGTGTGTACATGTACATGGTGGTATGTTCATAGCTGTCTCTACATGTACATGATGGTATGTTCATAGCTGTCTCTTCATGTACATGATGGTATGTTCATAGCTGTCTCGACATGCACATGATGGTATGTTCATAGCTGTCTCCACATGTACATGGTGGTATGTTCATAGCTGTCTCGACAACTTATACATCATGAGGCTTGTATACCTGTTCCCGGGGGTTTATCTACCCCGCGTGATTTAGCAAAATTTGATCATTTTTCGCACAATTTCTGATAATTTTCCTTTATGATTCTTTGTTAAAATTAACAGAATCGCATAATTTCACATTCTTGGGGGCTCACTTTGTATAATTTCAGAATGTTTTTTTTTGCATAAAACCGCGGGGACAGGTATACAGAGAAAAGGCGTTTACTGTTCGCAAATTAGGCTCTTGGTTTTGTTTTCGTGTTTTTATGCTCTGATTGGTTTTGTCAGTCTTCTTGTTATTGCTGTTTTTGTAGTTGTTGTAGTTGTTGTTGTTGTTGTTGTTGTTGTTGTTGTTGTTAATGTTGTTTTGCTGAAGTTGTAACGGGTGGTTGGAGGGCACCGCTGGTAGGTCCTATTTCTTTTTTTAAAATCTGTTGTGTGTCTTTCTGTCTGTCTGTATGCTTGTATATCCGTCTATCCTTCTGTCTGTCTGTCTGTCTGTCTGCTTGTATATCCTTCTATCCTTCTGTCTGTCTGTCTGTCTGTCTGCTTGTATATCCTTCTATCCTTCTGTCTGTCTGTCTGTCTGTCTGCTTGTATATCCTTCTATCCTTCTGTCTGTCTGTCTGCTTGTATATCCGTCTATCCTTCTGTCTGTCTGTCTGTCTGTCTGTCTGTCTGTCTGTCTGTCTGTCTGTCTGTCTGTCTGTCTGTCTATCTGTCGGTTTGTCTGTCTTACTTTTTCCAGGCAATAAATGACAAATTATGTGTCGATGTGCTTCTCTTTATTCAAACAAACAAAGCTGTTGTTGTAGTTGCTGTGGATGCTGTTGTTGTTCTTTTTGTTTTAGTAGTTGTTACATGTATTGATGTTGTCGTAGTGTTCATTCTGTTTTTGTTCTTTCTTGTGACACACTGTCCACCAATTGTATCCAACCCTTCATTTTACTACCGTATAATAAAAAGTAGATCTTCATGCTCACAATAGCATTTAGATTTGTTGCCTTGGCCTCTTATAAAATAACATTTTTATAAAATCTTTTGAAATTGATTCTGACAATTTCTATAGTCTTACCAAACAGGTAACTTGTTAGTGCATCATAAGATATAGTGACCGTTCTTTAGGCTAACTTCCTCAGGAGCAGCCGACAAAACAGAACTATAGTCATGATATTGCGCTCTAATGGAAATTAGGCCTTAATTGTGTTTGTCAAATCTCTTTATTTAAAAAAAATGACAAACATCATGCTGCACAGAGTCACATTATTCATTTAAGATTCCAAACTTTTAAAAACGGTTTCCCCAAGTTCTTCTGCACAGCTTCTACATTTTGACCAATACACAGACGACTGAATTTTGAGATCTAACAATCTTCTTGTTCTCCCTGAATATGTCTCTGGGGACTGTCTCGTCTAGGGCCAAGTTTTAGTTGTTGTTTTTTTGTGTTATTTAAACTACCTGACCCTTGTATAGCTGACCTCCGAAATGTTTTACAGGTTGGTCTTGACATGAAGCACTTCCCAGAATTCAAGTCGGACGTTGACCTCACAGAACGCCTAGTCACAGAACAAAGCGTGTTCTGCCTGCCTGCCGCTGTAAGTTTACTAGCAGATGACGTAGGTTTCATTTTTGGGTAATGTTTTAGGAAAAAAGTAAAGTATAGCCCCCCCCCCCCCCCTTCCCCCATTTCGAAAGGTTTGTCCTTGTGCCCAGAGTGGGGTTATAACTTTGCCTTACGGCAACAAGAAACCACAAGCTGTGGTGGTTGTTGTTTGAAGAAATATATATGGGCGAGGGGGGTGGGGGTGGGGGGTTACTCTTAACTTTAACTTTAACCTGCTTTCTTTTCCCACACTTATTGGTAGTTGTGTAGATTTAATCAAGGCCCCCATTAAACACTGAGAGACTATTTTGGAGGCGGGAACTCTGATTTATTGCTCAACCCCGAGCAATCGAAGTTTCAAAAACTTACTTTCATTTTTTAAAATTTTCTTTCTTTTATATCTTCTCAACAGTGTTTCCAGTACCCCAACTATTTCCGTGTGGTCCTGACTGTTCCAACAGAGAAAGTATCCGAGGCTTGTGAACGCATGGCAGCCTTTTGTCGGGAACACTATAAGCCGATAAATGGTATCAATGGAAAGCCCGATCTCACCAGCAAAGTTAATGGACTAAACGGGCATTGCGCGGATGAGATTTGCGTGGGCAAGTGAAAAGCTGAAAGACCATACTGGACTGCATGCTTCAACGAGTCCCATCTCATCCTCCTCTCTTTCTCTCTGTTGATGCAATTAGAGCTATGGGCTTTCATGAATTTACTACACCTTGCTGCATCTGTTGAGTTTGCAGCTTTATTTGTTAAAATGCTTGAATGTTTACAGTCCACCTTACAATTTTATATTTTCTCTGTTTTTCAACCAGACGAATCTCAATATACAAAATCATGATGGTGAATGTAAAGAGATTGTCTTTTAATATATTTGCATAGACTACTGAGGCGCAGTTGTCTCCAAATGTGGCCAACAAAAGGAAGTACAAGATCTGAGTGCTATTCTCGCCCTTCCTACTTGTATTATTATTGTAGCGATGTTCATGTTACTGAATCCCAGATTATGGACACCAGATGGCCCACCATCTCTTTGAGATCAAATAAATAGAAAATAAGAGAAGAAGAAAAATTATAGTAAAGATCCTCAATAAAACTAGGAGCGACATTGAGGAGTAAAATCAGCGATTGTCTTTAAACAATTTTTTTAAATCTGAAAAACGAAATGAAAAGCCTTCGCTGGCACCGGTGGTGATATCTATTTTATATTACCACTGTCCCTTTACCTAGTGGTTATAGCCTATAATTACTCGTGGCAGTGACGTCAACCACGTAGACTGACGGGAGCTACGAGTGCCCACTCTGGGACGCTGAGTGTCCAAGCTGGTGAGGGCAAGATCCAGCGCAATTACGCTGTGCGTCCCTTGCAACGCCTGTGGGTCTTCATAGAGTGTGAAGCGTTGGTTCACAGTGGGTACTTTTCGATTTCGAGACTCACGTGGAGACATCTCGGCGTTCTTGGAAAGGGGGGGGGGGATCTTAAAGTGAAATATGAGGGTATGGCTGTCTCTAATGAGCAAGCTGTAGGCTATTTTACAGTAAATCGTTTATTGTAGTGGTCCTGCGAATGCAAGTAAAGGATATGTTTAATATACGGCCCAGGTAAAGAAACTGTCTTATTACTGGATCAATAAAAAGAAAAAAATACTTCTTGCTTGGTCTCTGGCGTACAGGAGTCTCAGGCAGAGTTACGGGCGCATTGCCAAATTATTAAATGAGCTAGCATGTTTGTTTCACACAGACAGACGAAAGTGAACAAGCTGTGATATCTGTTAGCCTTACTCGCACTAACTACTTCGCATGCATGCGAAAGCTGCGATTTGATCTCTCCTCTCCTCACTCCGGTTTGTAAACCCAAGCACAAAAAGTGCACCAATTCTATTTCTGCTCAGATTTACTGTATTCTTATTACCACTATGCTGTTGTCACTGGTGCGGTTCTTATAGAGTAGTATTACAGGGATGCCAAATGATTTTTGAAAAAAACCCAGCTGAAAATGAGCGGAGCATCACATCTCACCTAAAACAAACCTTGTAAAGTTTTTCAATGAGCACACAAAAACATCTCTCCTACCTCTCCCCTTTCGTTTGCAAGGGTATGGGGACTTTGTTTCACCAATTTCAGCAATATTCTATCTGTCTTGAGAAGAAGGACCTTATGTCAGTGGCCTTCTTCTTCAGGTATGCCAAATGATTTTGGAAAAAAACACCTGAAAAATCCTGAAAAACCTGAGATTTGTCATCCCTGGTATCAGGAGGCCTATTTAGTGTACCGACTGGCCTTAACTTGATCCAACGTCCACTATCTGACTCCTATGATGTCACTGCCACGAGCTTTAGTCATCTTCTAGTACTACTAGATCTAACTGCAGAACGTTTTTGTCTCTTTCATTGTGGAAGACATTTTCTTCCTTTTTGTAATTATGTATATCCATTTTTTGACCTCACCGTGGGGTTTTTTCTCAGAATAATGTGATTAATATGATTACACCCTTCACGGGCAGCTATTGATGTTGTTTTGTATTTTTATTCAAAGTACGAAATGCTAAATTTGATTTCAATCAATTTTGCTTTCTCTTGGTTTGTTTACGAGCTTCGATGCCTCGCCACTAATTTGAGATGAAAGCAAATACACGTGTGATATACTAACTTGTAATATCATGTCTCTATGTCATATAATATTCATAGCGAGTCTTTGTTTCTTGAGACATTGCTTTATTCCTATGTTGTTTAATGAAGATGGAAGATCGGTGGAGATCTAGGCTTATATGCTGTCTGGTCCGCTGGCTTTTTTGTCCTTCTATTCCTGTTATATTCGTATATCATATATTTTATTCACAGATTTATAACAATGATACGTTCGTTCGTTGTAAGTTTTATCCGTGGACATGTTTTATACAAGCATTTTTTGCGAAGGTTTTCGATTGCTTGATCTGTTATTTTGTTACCTTCAGTGCAGCTACTGTTCTCACAAAGTCAATTATATATTTATGTTCTGTTGTACTATTTTATGGGATGTCTAATGAACTATTTTGATCTAAATCACTTCTATTTTAATGTTTATAATGACTTGTTCCCACTTGCCATATCGTATCTAACTTGGGAGATAATCAGGTCATTTTCTTCAAGCCCGTTTTAAACACAACAGGTGGTCAGATAGATCGGAATTGAAGAGGAAAAAAGATTACTTAAGACTTCCATTTTGTAAGTATGTCATTTCCAGACTTCATTTTTCCATGTAGGGGCCTAAATGTCATTAGCAAAAAGTAAATATTGCGCCGAATTTATATATAGATATTTCTCTCTCTCTCTCTCTCTCTCTCTCTCTCTCTCTCTCTATATATATATATATATATATATATATATATATATATATATATATATATATATATATATATATATATATATATATATATATATATATATATACATACATAAAATTACATGTATAGGACGTTATATTTCCTTTGTGCCAATGATTAAGCTGTGGAATGAACAACGGGGGCTACAGTGGTCTAGATGCACAGTGTTTGCCTCTCATTCAATAGGTTCCGGGTTCCAAACCTGACAGCGACGGAAAATGTTTTCCAAAATTCCTTACTGTTCTCTTTCAGCCACAGCCTTGGTCTTAGAGTAGGTAAGATCTGACACTTACCTTCTCGGATAAGGACTAAAAAGTCTGGGAGGTGCTGTGTGCAAGTTGCGCACGTTAAAGAGCCTTTGGAGGACTTAAAGTCGATAAGAGTAAGCTTAGGCCGTCACCCGGAAACAAATTCAAAATCAATTTTTACCGAACTGAAAATGTTCAATGTGTCCCGCGCGCTCATATTATCGTATGCAGTTGCGAGCACTGTGAAACATTTCTTTTAAAAATAATAGTAATATAAACAATTAATTAATTAAAATGATACATTAAAATATCAACCAAGCAAAACGCTGTTAGTATATAGTTGATACAATTCAGGGGTTTTGCGCAGATAAGACGGCGCCATGTACATTTTTTTTTAATGGGAAAGTTTCGAAAACGCCCCCACGTTCAAGAACGCCCCAATGGGGATTCGAAACGGTTTCATCCTTAGGCCTAGATTGATCTATAGACATAATCTTTTTTTTTCACTCTCATCAAATATGAGAAGATGCACTTTGACTTACCAGTTAACCCACAGGCGCTAGTCATCATAAAAATATAACCAGGAATGTTGAGACCTATGAGCCAATCACTCGAAAATTGACTTCTAAATATATGCAGCATTATTGTTTATAGCCCGTTCAAAAATGCTTAAAAGTAAAGTGATATATTTCTAAATGAAGAAAATCTGACAGATTTGGGGATTGTATTCCTTTTTTTTCTTCCGGGTTTTCGTAAGAGTCAACATTCTAGTCCTTTTCACCCACGCCCTTTGTAAAGAATTCAAGGGTTTTTGGATAGGAAATAAACAGCTCTCTGGACATTTTTCGGAAAATCAAATTCATGCAATTTTTAAAAAATCATACAAATTAAAGTATTAGACTTAAAAAACTTTAGTTTTTTGTGTTAGATTAAGCTTGAATGTTACTTTACTGTGTCAAAAAATAATTACAATAGGGTAATTCTGAGAGTTGTGGTGATTTATTGAAATACTCCGAAAAACGCCAGTCTTCAACGCTTGTGACTGGTGAAAGGGCCCAGTAGTAAGTGAGTTAATTAATGAAGCCAAATAATAAAATATGAATACGTTCATTAAGTTGTCAAGCTGAAGTTGGTTTATTTATAAATTGAACTACCCTGGATTTTCTTGCTTGCCATGTGCTACAGTTTTTCTGATGCGCATTCTTCAAATAAATGTTGATGAGAGAATATTATGGTGCCATAACAATTTTCTAACTAAAATTTAAAATCACTATTATTATTTATTTCTTTTCAGTGAACTAATGAGAGAATAAATGTATAATATATTTACCCGAACCCGTAATTTTAGTAGAACTTTGGAGAAGATGCAATCTTTTTTTGGCCCTCAGAACAAGCCAGAGCTTGTCTTGAACATGTTTTTAACGTCTCTGGTGCACATTTTGGTTTTGGCCCCTATCTCCCAAACCGAAAAAGCGAAAGTTCTAAATATTGATAAAGTACATAATGTACGCTAACAACAGCTAGTAGGCCCTGTTGGATAAGCCCATCAGTATTCTTGATGAATTGAAATACATGTATCATTACTTAAATCTTTCCATGACCTAAGTTACGTTTTTATTTTTTTTTTGTCACATATTGGTCCTATACATATTATGCTAATGATTTCTTATTGCAAAATGTGGTACAAAATCTTGTTTTGCAAAGAATGTTGTTATGTACATTGTTGTGAAACTTTACCATATTGCATGCATCTAAAGTATATCTCATATTGAATATTGATACTGATTTCTTTTTAATTCATTAATTGTCGAATGAGCGGGGTACATCTATTTACTTCCGATAGCAGTGGACAGCAAGGGTTAAAGGCACCTTTCGAGGGGACACCGAAACACGCACGCGCGCGCGCGCGCGCGCACGCACACACACACACACACACACTCATCACACCACGCGCGCGTTCTATCCCTTTAATATTATAATGTCAGAGATCGGCATTTAATTTTTTTAATTTTTTTTGTGAATTAAAAGAATAATTCAGATCTATATTTTTACAGATAGATAAGCTTACACATATCATGTTTGACTAAACTTGAATATTGTTTTTTCTAGGAAGCTTATTAAACAAGTTGTGCCAAATATCTTAAAATATGCCTTTGGTTTGCTTGATTACGCAGTGTCATGTGAACATGGTGGTTGTAGGTTAACTTCAATAAACTGAATACAGAACTTCTATGTGCTTGTTCATTGTTCTGTATAAACCCATTCACATCCACACATCGCAAGAAAAGTATCATTTAATTACCTTTACACAGGTATAACTACGTGTATTAGTACACGTTGAGTTAAAAATGACAGTTTTCCGTCTTATTTGTGACAAGAAAATGATACATGATGCAATCTTGGTAGCTGTTGTTTTGTGTTAAAAATCCAGCAAGAAAAAGTTCAACTGCAGGTCATTTGTGTTAATTTTGACGCGCTGGTTCCAAATTTGGTATTATTTTTTACGTTAGGACACAGTTTAGTTTTCAGTAAGTGTGTAAACAAAATTCTTGTCAGCAGGCCACAATGAAGGACACGGAAATGTTTAACAATTCAATATAAATATATATCATATACATAACATTTCCTTGTCCTTCACAGCGGCCCAACAAAAAAAATTCGCTTACAAACTTACTGAAAACTATGTCCAATAATAAAAATATCAAATTGGGAACCAGCGCGTCAACATTACCATAAATGACTAGCGGTAAAATGACATTGAAATCATTAGTTTGATAATAATGTGTCACTGTACAAGTTTAAGGGGCTGAAAGTACAGCTTCCAATTTACAGCATGATATTACATTTCAGAATCAACTTTACAAATTTATGGCAGCAGATGTTACTGAAAAGCATATTTGCCTGCCTACATTTTATGGCATCAGATTTTGGGGTAATCAGCTAAGAGTGAAGCTGTATAACGTATGACAGTGTGAATACGTTCATAAAGTTGTCAGCCTAGATTTGGTTTATGAATTAAGTGAAAAGGCAACTTGGTGCAAATATGTACCACACACAAAAAAAACCCATTCACACTGCCTCGTGAAAATACATTACACAGGTATTGGCACCATGTACTTTTGCCATCGCCAACGAGTTCCAACGACAGCTGAGGTCACATTTGGGTCAATATTCCAACTGACCTACAGTGGCAAAGTGTTCCTGGTGTGATGGTGGACTGCCACCAAGTCATAGATCAGTGTTATTTGTGAGGCAGCGTGGTGGAATCAGGCTCTCGTCAATTTTTGGGCATGTAGAGTTATTGGCATCATCTTAAAGCTTGTTCACTTGTCCTTAATTGGATAAAAAAAATATCCATTTATCTTGAATACAAGTCAAGATATTTGAGAAAGAAGGAGGTGGGGGTAACTGTAACATGTTTTCAGAGGTAAAATTAGTGAGAAAACGGCCGCCAAAGAGTAGTTATTTCGTTAGCTTAAGAGTCTGTGATAACAGAATATTAACTTTTTTTGTGCCTTTAATCAACGCTTTTCAGAAAAATCCGTTCTTTAAAGGGCATGAAAGGTGTTGAGCCAAAAAACAAAAATTTGATTAAAATTCACAAACCTGCGGGAAAATGCAAGTTTCTTCACTTTGATTATTTTGACGAGAGCCTGATTCCTCCACGCTGCCTCACATATTTCAAAGTCTTTAGAAAAAAAGAAAAGATTGTGGCTTGATTAAGAATAAGACATGAAACTTGGAAAGTTATTCATTTGTGCTTTAAAAAAAAAACAACCCCCGGTAATGACTAAAGATGACCTTATTGTACCCTTTTGATGATGATAGGTACAATAGTCAATTCCTGAATGCGAGTTCAAATGCTGAAACCAGATACTAAGTTTTATGAGGCAATTTAATTTTAAGAGATCGCAGGTGTGTTCATTCACTGAGTTTCCAATTCATGGGTTCTATAATACATAAATCATATTTCTCTGCAGATCAGGATGACGAAAAAACTTTTGACAGAGCAATCTTCTTCCTAAATGACCTTAAATGTGTTGATAAAATATTTACGATTAGATGATGTATAAATATGCCTATGACAAAACAGCTGCCAATTATTATCTCTTATAGTTAACAACTGTTGATGATTTAAGGGCTATAAAATCATACCTTTCTGAAGCTTATATAATTCAAGGATTTGTCTCACGGCAGTCCAACCGGAGAACAAATTCTGTACTTGTCTTAGATTTAGAAGTCAATCTCATTTTTTGTTCAACGAAAGTGTTATAACATAACTCACTCTGCCATCCAGTAAACCTGGTGTTCGGGATTCTAATGATGCAACTCCTACCCCGAAAGCAATTCAAGTTTTGTTTGTTCGTTTGAGTAAAGAGAAGCACATTGACGCAATGATGAATCCAAGTCTGATGTATCTCATAGTCATATTTTGTGACTTAGCAGCGGGAAAGGACTTGCAATTCCCGTATGAAGCTCATTTTGAACAGTAAAGCAATGCAATAAATTAATTTCACTTGCTCTTTCTAGAAAGGATGCTGAAAAAAATTTATCACAAATTCAATTTTGTCACACCAAAATGACATTTTGGTCTCTACGTTTGAATCTGATACATTCAATTCAAACGTTTACGATTGTATCTTTCTAAACACACCTGTGCATGCTTCTAGAGCTGTTTAAAGGAGAAACTTCTCTGAAAAGTTACTGAAGAAAAAATATATGGTAACTATGGGTTATGGCAAAGAGGTGACTGCATAAGGTTCGTTTTTTAAAAGTTTTAGTAGAGGTTTTACGGTGCTCACAACTGCAAAAGGTCATATGAGCGTCAGAAGATTAGAGGTGTTACAAGAGAGTAACAAACATAAAAAAGAAGAAGGAAAGATAAGGATGATAGTAGTTTGATAGGAAAGAAGGAGCAAACCACACCAGAGCACCCGCCAACCACCCACATTGCATAAGGGAAACAACACGTATTATTAGAATTTAGAACAGTACGCTGTGGTATAGGTTGAACACAATTTTCAAAGCTTGGAGGCAATACTTCTGAATGTAATGCTCATCTCTAACAGGACTTGGCTAAGTTTACAAGGAGCTGTCCCTGTCGTTTTATGCAAGAAAAATTATGAAATTATGCAAACTGAGCCCAAAAATGTGAAATTATGCGATTCTGTAAATTTTTACAAAGACTGATAAAGGAAAATAATCAGAAAATGATCAAATTTTGCTAAATTAAGCGGGGTGCATAAAAATAAAACTACGGCGACAGAAGGAGTCTTGAAAAAGGAAACAACAACATGAAGATCTTTCTTTGGCGCATTATGTCTGCCTATTGACAGTATGACTGGCTGTTGGCCTGTGACCTGCAAATATTTGCCCCTTTTGGAAGGAACAGACTTGGGTATGAGTAACAACAGTGAAGTAAAGCAGGAGCAGCCCAAACCAGAGCCCTTATCAACAACCCACCACCCTTCATAGAACAACAACTCACACAAATGGTCACATGTTGGTTTGTTGTTTTATTCATTTGGTCAATTACATCTTCCATTTAAAAAAAAAAAAAAAAGACTATTGTATGATTTACAACATTATAAACAACATTTAAAACATAAACAGCTGAATAGTCAGAGGGAAATGAGAGGGAGATGAATGAAAAATAATAGAATAACATTATTTACATTGGTGTCACATGCAAGCCAAGCATATCTAAAAGTAGTAACACGTCTTGAACTTCATCTGTTCATAAAAATTTGAAGAACTTTAAGTCTCCATTCACAAGATAGAAGGCTGTTGTTCAACCCGAGCAAGCAACAAGAATCTTCAAAAAGTAAGATTGTTTTTTTGTTTTTTTAATGAAATACTTTCATTCTCAGAAACAGCTCTGTGGGTAGGTCAAATTAAACATCTCAATGTTTCTAAAAGGAAAATGGTACTTTTTTATTACATGGATCCCAACCACTTGCGACACCTTGACTATGACTTCCCACCCGACTCTCATTAGGCACACACTGGGGACAGCCGCCTCTACTCAGACAACTTCCATACCAAGCCCTGATGTGTCCCCTGCCTCACCACCGCCGCTCGCCCCAGCACCATCAGCTGAATCATCCACACTGTCCATCCCATCGTTCCCACTCTCCCCCTCCCCATCACTAGCATCATCATCATCATCATCATCGTCAGCATCATCGTCGTCGTCGTCGTCGTCGTCATCATCATCCTCATCCCCACTGTCATCATCAGAGTCGTCTACAACTGTTGCCGACTTCTGCCTGTCTGATGTCTTGGAGTTCTGAGCCGATCCTGAAAGGCTGCTAGCTTGAGCCCTGGCACCAACTTGGTTTGGACCACTCGTAGTATAGTTAGTGATGCCCATAGCACTGCGCACCGCACCAGTGCTGACCACATCCCCGGGGTACACCTGCTTGGCCATAGTCACCAAGTTGTCTGTGACTTTATTGGCTGTGGAATAAAAGAGATGATTCCGGTGTGAGTTTTGATTTTTTTAAAATCCCAACAAATTTTAACAATATTCTGAGTCATTTTAAGATTTCAATTTCATGTTCACTTTACCCCTAAAGCACGGTACTTCACATTTCCCCTGTTAAAAAGTCATATAAGAAAAGTCATCCGGCACGGCATTAGACCATCAAATACCACATGCAGAACACCTCCCCCCCCCCGCTGGAAAAATAGAACTCCAGCCTGAACAAATACTTCGCTCATGTAACCATATGCAGTTGTGAGCGCCGTAAAACACTACCCCCCCCCAAAAAAGACAAATTAAATTATTCAGCAGCTCATTCACAGATGAAACATACAAAGCTTGCATAAAGTGGGACAATAGCAGACAGATGTGAATTACTGATGTGTCGCAACATGGTGAAGTCTGGTGCTCATCAAATGGGGGGCATATGGAGATTTTCATATATCTCCTTAAAACTTGTTCATTTGTCTTAAATTTAATGGACAAAATATTCATATTTTTATTGAATGAAGTCGAAATATTTGCAATAGAAGAAGGCGGGGGTTGCCTGGGGTTAGAGATACAATAAGCGAGAAAATGGCCACCCACGTCGGGTGACTTTCAAAGCTTCAGTGTCTTTGGAAACTGTAAATGAACATTTTTGTCTTTGATCAATGTTTTCAAATAAAAAATAAATCCACACAGAAACGTGTTTTTAAATGGACAAAAAAGGTGATGAGCAAACAAAATTCTTTAAAATTTAATAAAAATTGCCAGACGGCCAGAAAAATATTGGTTTGTTTCATTTCATTATTTTTTCAAGTGCCTGGTTTTCACCACGATGCTGCTCATATGGCCAAGAGAACTACATTCCACATACTTTAATGGCTCAAATAGACCTATTCAGTGTGAAAGTTGTAAGACGCAGTGACACTGAAAATCTGTCAATCTTGAACAGAAAGCTAAAATATAGTTATAATTTACTATCACCCACCCACCCAATGAAACGTGAACACTTTAGTTCAATAGCAAAGCTTACAAAGTATGACAGAT